CTTAAATAAATGTAAAGAACAAAAAGACAAGTGAGGGGACCTGCTAGTAGTGGCAAGTAATTCCAAAACATCCAAAACGATGATAACAGGAGGACACCACAAACCAAAGCAGAACTGAGAGAAACCACATACGAGAGTCAGAATTTTTAGTGGAGGACAGCAGGAGAAGTCAGGTGGGTCCAATTCAGCAGACAATGTAGGAGAAGGCAACAGTGGTAGTGATGGAGGAAGCAGAAAAAGCAACAGAGGAAGCAGAAAAACAGCAGGTAGAAACGGCTGCTACAGAGGAGATGGAGGAAGCGAGTCGATGCAGCAGTAGCAGAGGCAGGAGAGGTAGGGGAGGCTGAGAGAAGAGAGGATGTGGAAGATGCTAAACAGGTGGATGCACTGGGGGGAGGAATAATCTGGAGCCTGCACTGTGCTTTGCACAACAATACAAAAATGACAGAGCTTGCAGAAACTCTCAGACCAGCAGGATATCTAAAGTAGGGGGAAATTCCTACATCAGGGACCATGTCATTGTGTGAACAGGAAAGGTGGAGAATTCAAAGGTACTCTGGCCATGATAATGACTGCATGTGTTCCACAGCGAATTTGGGGCATACAGCTGGGTCTTATTCTGTACCTTCCAGGATAAAGACACTTCTGTATTTGGAGGTGTATGCAAAGACAACGGAGCTGTGGGTGATGACAGCTGCTGTCCATGGGATGCTGGAAGGCGTAGGCAGTGCTGACAGGCACGACAGAGAGCGACTGCCACGGGATGGGGGTAGCCGGTAGACAAAGCCGCGGGGGGCCTGATGCTGACAAACGGAGCTGTCCCGCTGAGAGCCACATATCCTACTACGGTTGCGGTATTATGCAACAATAAGCCTTGTAGCAGCCAATAATGTAATAACTTGCCAATAATGTAATAAAAATTTCGGACTGAAAACTGTAATAACTTATTATTATTATGCACAAAATTTTTTTACATTATTGGCTGGTAGTGTAGCCAACAAAGTAATTATTATCATTAATGTATTAAAAAAATACATTATTGTATTATGATCATACAGTTTGATATGCCAAGATAATAAGAAATCAAACTGAAAAAATATAACTTAGATGGAAGAGCCAAGGGCTTAAGAAGGATGTGTTAAATTCCTGGAACACAAATGGATGGATACTGTGTGTGGTGGCAGAGTAGTGGAAAAAAGCTTAGGAGCAATAAAAGTCTTTTATCTGAATAAGAGTAACGCAGATTGACATGGTACAATGGCAATAAGGGTAACTGGAAGCATATCGACAACGCAAAGCAGACAACAGCAATGATAACCATGCCAACGAAATACAAAGTAGCCGCAGTAACTGTTGCAGATGGCCAACAAAAACCATGCCTAGATACAAAAACACAAGCCATACAGGAGGCAGAAACAATGCATACAGAAGCACAGGAGAATACTGAAGAGAATCGTGGCCATGCTAACAAGGCAACAGGAGGGAGAAGGCACATAAGGGAAAATATTAATGTGAAGATGAATCAGCAACGACCGGTTAGAAAACAGCTGAAAAGCAGTTCAGAGACTAGCACCAGGGGACTGAGCTGAGGGCCGCAGCAGCCTGTAAGGAAGAGCGCGACATCCAATGCGTGAAAAAATGTTAGCAGGGGTACAGTAGCAGGGTCGATACTCGGGGATATCATCAAAGCAAGGACAAAATGGTTTGCGGGGTATTTTATCCTCTCTGTTCGCTTTGATGAATTCTGTATTGAGGGCATAAACTGTTCTAAGATTGAACTTAAATGTTATAAGTTATTAAACTGTATGTTGTGTGGCACATTAATACTTTTACAGTATGTAAAGTCCTTGGAGGGCTTCTGTAGTCATTGCTGGGCTGTCAGTGCTCATCCCTTATATAGGGCATCAAAGTAGACAAACGAGGGAGTGGCAGGGCAGTAGAGGGCAGTAGAGGGCTGCCCCACATCCACCTGGGACCTTTCAGTATCTGCATGATCTATGGGCTTGAAATTTGGGGTGCTGATAGCAGCCCCTGTTGTGAATGTCAGTTAGAACTCCATCCTTCCTTCATTGCATGAGACAATGAGAAGTAATGTGAGGTGCTAGGAGGGAAGGATGTGGCTGCAGGCCGCAGTATGAAGGCAGAAGAAAAGCACATTCATTCAGTTCATAGGTGCCTGATTGCCAATTGTTACACAAGACACATTGTATGTATGGAGCTTGGATCACGTGTTGGCTACAAGAGTGCATTGGGTCAATGCAACCCAATCATTTTTGAGATGACATGCATCTTTTATTATTACTGTATCTCGTAGTAATAGATTTATGTAGTGAATATTTTAAAAAGCACTTATTAGAAGACAATAACTAATTTTAACATTTATAGAATTAAAATAATGAAGATCGGGTCTGAACTCTGATGACTCACTTATGGTGGAGGTCTATTAAAACAATATAAGCCATCATAGTTTGGACCCGAAGTTCCTTCTTTAGATTGCTTTGCAGTGTCTACAAATCAATGGTATCTGTCATCTGAGTGGTTAGAGTGTGGTTTTTGAAGTTTTTAGCCTTTATAAAGTGAACGTTATCAATTTATATAGTACAAATATTTTATAAAATCATCGTAGTTACTTGCTATACCAAAAGGTTTTGTTTCGCCTGATTAAAGTATAATAAACATTGCAAAAGCTTTAAAAGCTGAAAGGCCGCCGTTTAGGTAATACCTGTTCACTTGCTCTTTAGGCTGAAATCTTCTACTCTGCATGGAGTAACGACGATAGATGTGTGAGTGTATTTTAAGCCTCTTTTCACTCACATTCTTGTTGTTTCGTCAAGTGAAGAGGCTCCATTCTCTGGTGTGAATAACCCTTCCCAACTGAAGCCACTTTAAATGAAGTGGGAATGACTGTGGGAGGGAACTGGAACAAGCTCAGTATTGAATATAGTTTTATTGCTAAAGATTTGATACTCTCACTCTCACACTAATCTTTTTTATTGTGACATAATTCCAGATTCAGCAGTTTTTTAAAAGCCTGAGATCATTCATCTTTGAAATCGCCAAGAAAAAAAAATACTGTGTTGCAGCTGTTTACTGAGGGTGAATGATTCATAATGCTTCCTTTCAGTTCCAAAAACTGAAAGCTGTTAAGTTCAAACAGTGAATGATTATTGCACAACCAGAATGAATGGTAGGAAACATAAATGTAATAAGGAATGGTTCGAGTGGTCCAATGGGAATAAAGAAGCAAAAATAGCTTTAATATATAAAATGGCAATCTATGCTTTTGAATTAGTACCAGTCAAATTTTAAATATAGCTTTCGGTCGAGGAATTAATGTCTTTGAATGAGTGAAGGACTAATCAAATTCTACATGTTCATGAATCTGAAGTGTTTCTTAAATATGGTATCATGTCTAATGGATTCCCCGATTAGTAGTCAAAATACTTACTGTTGGATAATATTTTGTTTGATATTTCCTCATGTTGCAGCCCTCGTCACTGTGTGTCAATCGCAGAACTATTTTTATACATGTAGTAAGTGTTTTGGACTAAATTTAGTACCAATGTAGCTTATGATAAGTTCAATGTGAAAGATGCATCATTTACCATGGTTCCTTTTCATAATCACTGAATAGCTTCTGCACAATGAAGAAGTAGCAGTGTGCTCATTTCGTCATTTTCGCAGTGATCATGCGATGGTGTAACTCGTAGATGTAAGGTGTACTCAACAGCTGGGTGATTTCACTGCAGATTAGATTCCTATTTCAAGAGTAATTCATGTACCATGAACGTTATGAAAAGAAAATTAAAAATCCTTCACTGCTATAATATATGCTTAAGAGACTAGGTTTTTTAGCTTGTAATTTCACTTAATGGTTCCTTCGTTTATAGAAATAACATTTTTTTAAAATCATATTTTAGATTGATGCGTAATCTCAAATTGTTTGGTCCAAGAAGGTAGACAGTAGGCTTTATGCTTGTATGTTTATGTGACTTATTTCTAGAAAGCAGTTATTGCAAAAGGCAATAACTTAAGGATCCCCTGATTAATTAACTTGGAGAATGTATATCATCTCAGTTCTTTAACTGTATCTTGAGACTTGTTTGCTTAGACAGGGAAATAAATCATATTTAATGGCTCTGGAAAACTATTCAGACACAATATTGGATTGAAATAAATCCTGAAGAATGACTAATTTGGTAAGTTTTCAACAATAAAAATGACAAACTTAAGAAATTGAAGGCTGCAAAATAATAGTTAATCCTGAAAAAACTAAAACAATTTTATTTAAATAATTCTGAAGTGAATTTTGTGTTCAAAATGTTTTGAATGGCATATTCCCCGTCTGGAAAAGGCTAAAAATCATATAATGGCTAACAGTGGTCCAGACCAGGATTTTGTTTCTACCAAACATCTGAGCATGAAGAGTAACTGCCACTGAGTACTCACCTGGTTGGTAGAAACAAAATAGTGTTAATAGGGTTTGTAGCTTCTGGACCTGACATGGCTAAAGAGTTAAAAGCCAAAGCCTAAAAGTGCATTGTATTGATATTTTACTGATATAGACTGTAATACAAATAATAACAGATGCATACTGATTTTCTTCATATTTGCTCAGGTAAATTTAGAAGGGATGTGGAGTTATTCTGTGAAATTCCAAAAGAATACACGCTATGGACTATATACCAATGCTTCAGGATTCACAAATGCTTCATATATAGCTACTAAGTAAGGGTGTTGAATATGGGTTGTGGTATGTGATATTACAGAGGTAACGGAGCACAATACATGCAAGAGGCATATATTACCGCTTAAACTTTTGGCTAAGGCTATGCATTCAGCAGCATGCATTAATTAGAAAGTGCAAATGGGTGTGCTCTATCTTCTTGGCCAATATTTGTACTTATCTGTATTTAAAAAAGCATTACTGAGTTCTTGGTATGATCACAGATGCTGTATGGAGAGCCTTTTTAGATGGTAGATACAAAGCGATGATCTACCAGATTGGCGCAGGTAGAGAAAACGCAAGCGTCATCTCCAGGCTTGATATCGTTGTGGTTGACAGAAGGTTCTGACAGGCTCACCAGCTCCACATCGGGACTCAATGAAGGTGTGACTGGAACTGGCTTAGGAAAGGAGTCTGTTTCTGGTCCATAGCCAAAGGCTTGAATAGAATTCCCTGTGGAGAGAGGCTTTGTATCATCAAATTTGTTCTGCTGGACTTCTCTGGAGGTACTGCTGTTAAACTCTGGTATATTTTCTACAGTCTGTCAACAGATTCTTGCCGGCTGCCAAAGGTTTTGTTAAATGATTCATTAGGGAACAAATCTGCTGGGATGCAAATCATGGGACTCAAAATGAAATCGACAGTAATCCGCAGCCATACAATGTAAACAGCCTGTCTTCCATGAATGAAACTGAAGCATGAATGCCTTATACTGTACATTTATCTAGGCATTCAATATCCAGCATGGACTGACAGAAATAAAACTGTTGATCAAACTGTTTAGAAGTCAAAGGTTTTCTTATTTACATACAAAAGTATTGATCCTTTAATTAATTCATTTTTTCACACAACTTCAGGTGTCAGAACAAATGTATGTGAAATAAGCAAAATTATGTTAGTAATTAAGATAAATTAGAAATGTCCCCACAGCATGAAACACACACAAAATAGCAACATAAACTATGTGTTCAATGTATTGTGGTATATCTTCTCTTTTGGGAATACATGTTTAACTGACTTTTTCCATATTTATATAGACATGAGTAAACATTTTTCTGATCGCTATTTTCAGTTTCATACAGTTTTGAAGAAACCTAAATGACTGGCCTAAGAATAATTAGAAGTTATCAGAAGTAAATATCCTTATTCTGAAATATGACTTTAGGATGTTACATTTGCAACATATTCACTTCATTTCTTGGAATTTTATTAGTTTTTCCCGCTTTAAGTTGCTTGTGCTGTATGTTAACTATTTCCCTCATTCTATATTTCTATATGTTATAGCTAAGCACTCAAAATTATAGAGAAATATAGACTGTTCTATATATGAGTACCTCATGAAATATTAACAAACAGATATACTAGTATTCAACACTGTAGAAAGAGTACTTTCAGGTTTGTTAGTCACTTATTGAGAAAGGAACCGGCAATTTTATATATATATATATATATATATATATATATATATATATATATATATATATATATATATATATATATATATGTAACAGTTCCCAGAGTGCCTGCTTACATTCTGCTTTACACAGTTGTTAGCATAACTCAGAACTTACTGCATTACAGGAAAACAACAGTCAAACAAACAACAGAGATTAAGAAGGGTGGATGCAAGATAGGTGTAGAACAGAGAACATGTGACTACGGTCAATATGAATGCAGAGCCCTCACATGATGTACATGTGTAGAACCAACACTTCACAGGAACACACTTATATAGCTGTCATTTGAAAGCAGACTAGGTGTCCTCCAACATTAAGAAGATATGAAAAAGTTCTTGATTTTAGGATGTTATGTAATTACACAATACTACATGTGTGTTTCTTATACCACCTTGTAGTCACATTTAAAGTGCTCTCTTTTCAACTCACTGATTATTAGTGCGCTGGCTGATGCCACCAAACTATGAAAGAACAGGGTCTTTTCAGTTTTGTTCCATGTGCATTACTATAAGCTGACATCAACAGGGCCACCAGTGTTTATTCTGTAATTGTGACTCATTAAACGATAAAAAATTCCTAGTCTTAAACATTCTTCAGCCATAGAAGGCCTGTGCAGTGAAAAGGCAAAAGACAATTACAAGTACTGTAAAGTTAGAGCAGCGGAGAGTAATATGCTGTGTATTTGATATCTAATACTGTAACATGCATTGTGTAGAACAGATGAGAGCATGTATTTTTGTGAAATTTCTAGAGACTGCTCAGGATGGCTTTGCGGACCACTAGTTGAAGATTAATCTGTGGTATATATGTTAGTGGCCTTTTGCAGATTTCCTGTTTTGATACTGCAGAACGTGCTATCGCAATGCATTCTGCATGTCATTACTTGCGTCATGTGGTCATGAGGGATAATCATTCTGAACTCTGACTACATGCAAATACAAACTTTCTGCAGAAACCATTTGCGCAGTTTTGTTTGATAGCACTACACTCACGTAAACAGGTGTTCTCCCTGAAGTCCCGCAGGAATTTCTCGCACTCCTCCTCTTGGTTCCCACTTCCCCGGCATGTGCACCACGGCGAGATGGTGATGTTGGTGTGACTGGCGTCCACATAGTTCGGCGTCATGTCAGATCCTTCAGCGGTGGCAACAGCAAAGTACCACTTTAGTCCAGCTAGTGCCGCCCAATGCATTCGCCCTCATTCATTTAGCAGTTAAGGGGCAGCTGGGCTTGCTTTAAGAAAAATATAAGAGGTCTATTTGGAAGTCATCATGTTTTTTTTTACTGAATAAAAGGCCGAGTCCTTCTTTCCTACTTAGAATGTATACATTGCTGAAACATAACAGAGGTAGTTAATTAGAAAAGCACAAAAAGCACATCACTCACCTATAAGACCGATATAAGAGGCCAGACAAGCCTGGTAGTTTTCATTTGGACAGTTAGTGATGGAGTGCGGCGTCGTCTGGCAGTTCATGTGGAAGTCAGCCAGTCTTGACCTAGTCACATACAATGGGAATTAAATAAACAGTTCACTGTTTTGCAGCTCTTTGCACGTCACAGAGTAGGGATCTAAGATTCTTTATTCAAAAGCGCTGTACTGCATTTCAGTTTCTATTTTTGTCTCGAGACCTGCACATGTTAATCTAGTTATGGCTGCTTGGAGGTTCCCTGTATTTCCAGATCACTGCTACCCACTGATATGAAGTGAATCAGCGGGGCTCTTCCTCTCTTCCTGAGCATGACTTTTTTTATTCTATTCCATCATGCCTGGCCTCTACCTCCCTGGGTCTCGTGTTTTCAAAGGAATCGCTGGAGGCCAGAGCACGAGCAACAGTGACACTGCATGCCCTGGTTACAAGGATTGCATGAAAAATGTCACCTTACATTGGCCTGTAATTCCACAGAATGGAATACCCTCTCACGTGGAAACTCAACACTTCAATATCATGTGGACAGATGATTTTTCCCCCTTCCTAATTATTTATTATTAATTTATTTAGTATTTTCATCCACCCATCTCCTGTCAGTCCCCAAGTCGACTACTATCCCATCCCAATAAGTTATCGTATTGACCAGTAAACAACAAGAAGCATAAATAACACAATCAACAAAAATCTGCTGCCAAGTCAATCAGTACTTGTACTGATCGCTTGCTCCATTTTGATTGTGGTTCCCGAAGAGAACTCTATCGGCAATCTATGGCTCATCCTGCTAGTCCCGGATGTAGAGAGTTGAATTTCGGATCGTATTTTAAACCACTGAAATTGTGGCAGCGTATTTGAAACAGCGAAAATAACAGGACTGAATATTGTAAAGCAGAAATAAGAGGACTGAATGTTACTGCTTGAATAATAAAGATGCAAATAAAACACATGGAATATTTTCAACTGAATTTGTTCTTTTTTAATTTATTTTGAGGCAAAATTAAATGAACTGAATTCATGTGGTTGAATTATAAACATGCACTTTAAAATACGTATCTTTTGGAACTGAATTTTGGAAGCCGAATATTTTTGTACTGAATATTTAAGCAATGAAATTACGATTGAAATGTTTTCAGCTGAAATGTTCAATGTTTAAATGTATGCACATATTAAATTACAGTCCCCAAAAATTCAAAGCGTCATTAATGTAATGCGTTTTTATTCGATAAGTGTAATTCAACGTGTTTTTTTTCATCAACGACTTTTGTCATTAATTTACTTCCATAAGCAGTCACAGAGTGGGACTGACTGAGGTTTTTATTATTATTATTTTAATGTCAGAAGTGCAAAATGCACAATTAGCACCTGAACCAGCTTTCGATTACTCTTTTTCAGGTAATAGTGCTTGTCTGACAATTTGATCAACAACTAACGGATGTTTATTCCTTATCTACATTACACCAATCTTTTAGACAAAGCTGCAAGGTCACAGAGCCCTGTGCGGCCAGCCACCTTACAATTATGATTATGAATCACAGTTAACGGGGCAATCCTTCATTCTACAGCAAGACAGCAACACAAAACACATCGCAAAATTGTGCAAGAACTATCTCGGAAAGCAGGAAATTGCTACAGCTGAAATTAATGACCTGGCTGACCCAGTCTCAAGACCTCCCATAGAACTTGTATGAAATTAACTGGATAGAAGAGTCAATGCAATGCACTCCAGAGGCCCCCGAGTTCTCTGGGAATCGCTGCAGGAGGGCAGAGATGACATAGTGGACGATTTCCTGCTGCAACTGCTTAACTGTGCTTGTAAAGCTGCTATCAAGTCAAAAACAATGATGAATTTTTTTGGAAGCACTGCTTTTGTATTTAATACATTGTAATTTATTCCTGTATGTAACTACAGAAAAATACCTGAGGTAAAACATTAATAAATCCTAGGTTCCAGCAAGTATACTCAACTTTGATTGGTACTGTATATTAGTTATGTCACCAAAATATGATTAAAAATCTGTTATTTTGATATTGTCACATTATTTTCTGTTCCCACAACAGGAAACTCAATTAATAAAAATTGAATGCCATTAAAAAACTAAAAAAGTCTTCTATATTGTTTGATTACTTATGCCTAAGGTTAGCGATGGGTGGCGGGTTAGGTTGTAATAGCTGGGGTTAGGGTTTTGCCCATAGAAATTAATTGGGAGTCCCCACAAAGATATAGATACCAAATCTGTCTGTGTGTGTGTGTGTGTGCTTGGATGCATAAATCAGTGTCAGTGGACAAAACATTCATTTCATTTTCCTCTCAGAAATACCTGCACACTCATATATGTGTTTAAAAACATGCAATAACAGTCATCATTAAAAAAAACAAGATTGCTTAGTTCTTGATAAGATTAAAAGATTTTGGAAAATTTTGTAATATTTACAAGGCTGACAAGGTTATTTTTGATGCAGCCGGAGAAACCCCAGGTTTTGGGGTGTTTAATATTCCTTTCGGTCCCTAATGTTCATTAGGGAACCTTGTCTGTTTGTTCTGATTACCAGCATGCATATTCTTCATTTAATTATCATACCTCACAGGACATACATGATTTGCATGGCTAATTACATCTTTGTTCACCACATGACAGAGGGAAGGTGAATGCCATGTAAATACTGCCCCCTCATATTTATACTGGGGGGGATATTTCTGTGTCAGATATTTTCAGTCCTCCCAACCTATCGCTCCCAGCGAATGGGGAGAATGACTCAGCTGTCATTACAATTTTCCGCTTGAAATATTTCAAATTTGTTATTCAAGTTCATGGTCCAGAGTCCACTACTCCAAACTCTACCCTATTGTACCCTACAGACGTTACACCTAAGGGCTTGGCCACATTCAAATGTCCTAATCTGGGTGATTAGTAAAGCCTTTAGTAAACTGCATGTTGTGTAAATAACATACATATTCATCCACTGGTTCAAAGTCTGTTTAGATGTATGAACCTTTTTAGACCAAAGAGCTTTTATTCTGAGCTTGAAGCAAAAACAATTAAGTAAGAGAAAAGTAAGGTAGCAGCGTGAAGTTAATCAACTCATGAATTCAATACTAGGGCAATTAGATGTCTTACATTGAAGGACAGAATCTTTTTCTGCAACAGAGAATAATGATAAGTACCTTTGTTCAAGATGACACAACACAACAGCACAGGGGAGAAGTGTTTAGAAAGCAGATAAAGGGCACCGTGAATTGTAGTTTACTCGATAATTATGCTGCCCCTCACTCCACTGGCAGTCTAATGAAGCAGGACTGTGTTGTTTTCTTATTTTAGACAAGTTGTTAGCTTGCACAGGCTGTTAACTTTTGTCCAAACAAATCTCTGAATCCCAGACCGGACAGGCCAGTGTGTACATAGTTTTTCATTTCACCTGAGTGAACCACTATACAGTACTGAGCGAAAGACCTAGGCAATGAAAGAAAATGATGTTTAAATGATCTTCATATTGGTTTAAAACTGTAATATTTTGTCTGTCAAAATGGGCCAGCTTAGCCATTTCAAACCCTCTCCAATACACCCATGTATTTTTGAAGTACACCTTTTTTTGGCTACTCAATACCTCATTGACTTTTTAAACTAATGAAATTAAATAAGAGAGCTGGTGATGAAATTTAACAAATACAAGGAATAAATGAGGCACCCCTGAAGAGAGGTTTGGGAACCAAAGTGTTCATTGAATCATCGAATTAGATATTAGTAACTTTTTGGCAACAGAATAAATTCCTGTTAGTTTTTATTTTTACTCTTAATTTGCATATATTCTAATGTTACATTGTGTTTTTGTGCTGAGCAAACGTACTTAGTACACAGATAAATGGCTTTACACATTTCATTTGACTGCCTAAAACTATTGCACATGTACATTATGGTTAGTTTGTTGATTGCGTTTTTTAGTCTGGGAAAACACCACATTATAAAAAAACCGAAGAGGTTTTTGGGTGTGATTAAAGCAGTCTAGCATAAATACTATTGGGTATGTGGTACAAGAAATTGACAGCAACACCAACAATATTGTTCAAACTCCACTAGCTGCCAGTGGTTGAATTAGCTATAAATTATATACTGTTACAGGCTGTTTTTCTCATCATTGCCTCAACTAGACAGAAAAATTCCCAAGAATTATACATAATAAAATGGGTTAAGCCTCGGTGCCAGTGATCCGAAGGTCACCAGTTCAAGCCCTCAGCATGACTGTGAGCCCTTGGGCAAGGTCCTTAACCCCCAGCTCCCTGGGTGTCACTACAGGTGGCTGCCCTTCACTGCCAAGCTTGCTCTCTCCTACACAGAGCAAGATGGGGGAGGTAAAAAGAGAATTACCCCATGGGGATCAATAAAGTATAATCATCCATCATCAAATAGACCATAGCTAAACTGGATGATAATACATTTTGTCAATTACAGACACGAGCCCCTTCAGTTCCTCTGTAAACCCCAGGTTAGAAACTCTTGATACACACACGTTTGCATTCTTATCTTTGTGTGCATTCATTTCTATACGTACAAAATCCTAATTCCAACAAAGCAACCTTAACCACTATCCTGCCCTAACCTTAGCCATAATTAATCAAACAAAATTAAAGACTTTTGGAATTTTGAGTTTTGTGATTGTATGTGGGGACTAAAAAAATATCCCCATAAGGACAAAATCACATTATGGGGATTTTTGTTCCCCACAGTGTAATACATGACCGCGAGCACGTAAGCATGCACGTGTGCACACAGGTTTCTAATTATATGTATGTGGGGACTCTATTCATTTCTATGGTGAAAACTCTAATCCCATATAATTAAGACCTTAACGCCTAGCCAGCCCTAAGCTGAACCACAAGTAACCAATCTAAATACGAGATCTTTGGCATGTCTAGTTTTTTGATTGCATTCACAAATCTTTGTGGGGACCTGAAAATGGTCCCCGCAACATCAAAATAATAGGTTTTTAATCACATTTGGGGGAACATTTGGTTCCCACAATGTAATATAAACACACACACGCAGATATTTTGTGAACATCTGTGATGAACTGGG